TTCCCTACCAGTGTCAGCACTGATCAATAGGTATTATAAAAAGATTACAATTCTATATAACTATTATTGCCAAAAGATTAAAATATAATAAATGTAGTAAAAAGATCTAATTGGCTTTTAACTGTGACTCTAGGGTAAGGATCTGATGGGCTAGAGGATAAGGTAACAGCATCACTCTATAAAATGGAAGGAGTGTGCCAATGAGATGAACAGCGCAAGTCGGCCTTATAGACAGAAAAGAACTGAACAAAGAACAGGGACAGAAAGGAAGTGGACTGGTTGTTTAAAAACTGCTTTCCTTTCAAAATACAAGGGAACTTCCTTACTGTGCTGATGCAGGTTGATTAGAATTTCTTTTTTGTTTTTTTTTGTTTGTTTGTTTGTTTGTTTTTAAACTAGCCCATCTCAAAGTTCAGTCTGATTATGTGACACTTAGCACATTTGGTTTGGTTTGGTCTGGTCCAGAGTCAGAAGGCTAGTCTAAAACAATAGCCTCCCATAAAATTTGTTTAACATTACAAAATATTAAGATGGAAACATTTGAGAGAAGTTAGAAATATAATAAACCTTTCCAATGGTAATAACTTCTTTCTAAGCATAGTATTTCCCTCTCAACCAAAAGGACATAGCAGCTGTCCAGAATAAATTTTTCATTTATTTATTCACTCAAAATTCATCCTTTATTTATTCATCATTCTTTTAGTCAATGAATATGCAGTGAACACCAGTATGTGCTAGGTACACTGAACGTTAGTGATGTAATTAGGCAAAGGTCCTACAGAAGGATGATGGAAAGTAGTCCAGCATAAGCTGAAACAAAAGAAAAATTAGAAGAGATCAGCTTGGAAATGCAAACAAGGCAAGTAATGATTGGCCTTATGTACAATACAAAAGAATCAGGATAAATACAAAAGTTCATCATATGACGAATAATCTCAAATAAGCAACTGCATTATTTTTCTGCATTATATTTCCATGGAATAAATACCCATAGCTTTTTTTGGAGTATGTCAATTGGCAGGAGAAAGGCAGAAAAAGGCTCTACAATCTTATTCAGAATGTATATAATTTGGAATACTTCTTTATCATGCTTAATCCCTACTTTTAAAAGGTAAAAGAACAGTTTCAGGTAAAAATAAAGTAAAAACTCCCTAAAATAATTACTACATCTAAAAAATTCACATATTGTTTCTACAAATTATTCTTTCTAAAAATAAAAGAATACATAAACCAAAAATATCACCTACTTTCCGTTTTCAGCAGATATATATTCTTCCCATGTAATAGTGTTCTGAGGAGGAGGGGTAAGAGACTGTCTTCGAACAGGCTGCCAAAAAATATAAAGGGGTGGGGAAAGATGGAGAAAAAAAGATTTAAAAATTAAAAATAAAAAATATAGACAGCAAACTATTTAAGCTGCCAATATACTTATCTCTTTAATGTAATACTTAAAGAGGTTCCTTCTAATATAGTTTTATGGCAACTTAAGCTCTACTAACATTTATTATCAATTTCTTCTAAATCTCAATAAGAAGATAAAAATCAACATAATATCTATTCATTCAATGTTTCAGTCATATAAAATGTTCCTGGCATTACGCTAGAGGATGAACATTGGAGCTACAGAGAACTATAAGAAGTTACTCTGGGGGCTGGCAGGTGGCGTGGTGGTTAGGATGCTGGATTCCCACATGTCTGATCACAGTTCTGGTCCCAGACCTGGTGGCTTACTTTCACACTTTTCCTTTCTCTCTCTCTGGTCAAATTTTAAACTAATAATAACAAATAAATTTAAATAAATAAATAGCTTTAAAAAAAATAAGTCATTGTGACTTCAAGGCACTTACAAATCAGTTTGAAAGAAAAAAAATAAACAGACAAGAACAGTTGGTCAGAAATATAATACAGTACAAAATTAAAGACCAAATGAGATTGCAGAAAATAGAGTAATATAGAATATGGTTCAATTCCTGTACCCAGTGGCTTGAAAATAGTAACAGGCATGTGTGCATGCCCAAAATCCCAGGAGGAGAAGGGATTGTGGCACAGCATCTCCAGCTGAGGGGTGATTTCTTTCTCCAACAAGCACACCACATGCACCATAAGGCAAAAACCTCTTTTAAAAAAAATAAATTAAAAGAGATAACATGTAAAAGGGGTAGTTCACCTGGCACAGAATAAAGAGTTCAGTAATTATCATAGTTGGTAATTTCCTAGAGGGCAATTACAGAAAGCAAATTAATCCTCTAACCAGATGAAACATAAGTAAAAAAAAAAAAGAATGTGAATGAGTGAGTCTTAAAAACCAATTAGGGTGTCAACCTTGGTGTAGTGGTTAAGGCACTGGACTTCCACATAGCCATCCACATTTCAAATCCTGAACCAGGTGGCTAGCAAATCACACCAGCACATGTGCATGAGTGCCCAAAATCCCACCAGGAGAATGAAGGAGAAGGAACTGTAGCGTGGCCAACTCCCCAGGGGGGTGAATTTTCACTTTCCCTCTAACTGTCTCTCTCTCTCTCTGGTGAGCACATGTGCACCATGGCAAAAAACCTTTAAAAACTTAAGTGAATAAGATAAAAGCCAATAAGAAAAAGAAGAAAAACAGAAAGAACTAGATAAGGAAAAAATAAAAACGCCAACGTAGTGAAAGACACTAGAATATGTTACCCCAAAATGTTTCTCTTTTCCTTACTGTCACAGAACTCTCTGCATATAGTATGCTTTCAATAAACATATCCTAAATAAAAAATTAAAGGGGATGTACAAGCTAAAGATGACTTTACAAAGTAGGTAGATCTTCAGCTGAGTTTTCAAAGCAGAGCAGATTTTACATGGTGAAGCAGAAAGAAAATATGCAGACATGGATTAAAAAACTAACAGTGGGGAACCAGCAGATGGCCTAATGGCTACATCACAGGACTCCCATGTAGTCGACCGTGGTTCGAGTCCTGGACCTGGTGGCTTAAACTCACGCCAGGAGCATGTGTGTGTGTGCCCAAGATCTCGAGAGAACAGAGGAGAAAGGATTGCAGCATGGCCATCCCCCCAAGGGGAGTGATTTCTCACTTTCTGTCTCTCTGTCTCTGTCTTTCTGATGAGTGCATACACCCTATAGCAAAACCTCTTAAAAATAAATAAATAAAAATAAAAATAACAGTGGGGAGGCCAGAAGATGGCATGGTGGTTAAGGCACGAGACTCCCACATGGACAACCACGGTTCAAGTACCAGACACAGCTGCTTGAAATTCACAGTGGGCACATGTGCATGCCTGCCCAAAATCCTGAGGAGAATGGAAAGAAGGGATTGCAATGTGGCCATCCCTCCAGGGGGGTATTTCTTTCTTTCTCTCTGTCTCTCAAGCAAGCACCTTCTGACAACAACAACAAAAAAAACTCTCTTAAAAAAAAAAACAAAAACCTAACATGGGATTTGATGCATACGAAATGGTTTTAGTCTATTTACTAATGAAGACTTGCAGATCAAGCACAGATACACAAAAAATGTCAAAGGACCATTTTTCTTTTTCTTCATAATAATGACATACAATAAAAGAAGAAACAGAGAAAAACAGAAGGTAAAACATAATAAACAAAATCTGTGAGTATATTTATATAACCTTATTGAATGCCAGGTATGAAGTCTATCTCCTTACTCCTTAGAAAAAGTAGAAGTAGAAATTATACCTCAAAATTCTGTTCCATTATATTTCCTCCTTTACTCAAACTCTCCATGATGGCCTTATTTCGAAGAATATCCTCTTCACTAAGATGTTCTCTTCTTTTTCTTGATTCTAAAACAAGTCCATTCACCAGATAAAAGTCTGCCAAAAAATTTCCTACTCTTTCCTAAAACAAAATAAAATATTTCAAAATAATAGTAGTTAAGTTTGACTTAAAAATACAAGCATCAAAGTACTATTTTTTTCTATAAACATGTAACATGTAGATAAACATGAATATTTCTTTAATACTTGAAATTATTGAATTATCTTATACATTCTAATACTATAAAAATACAAAAAATTACTCATTTAAAATTTGTAAAAAAAATTACATAAAGATATTGAACAATTAATCTGCAAGTGAGTTAAATCTAAAGAAAAACAATACAAAATATTCATTTATAATCCATTTCTCAAGTAGCATAAAACTATCTGAAAACTTTATTAAGCTGACAGTCAAATATCATGAGTAACAAGGAGGGGTCAGGGATAACACCGTTCCCATTTTATAGATAGAAAAAAAGTGGAAAAACAAATAAAATGGTCAAGTCCCATAGGAATCTCTAGTACAACTAGAATCAATGACCTGTTCAAATTCTCTGTTCTCCAATCAGAACAAACTTGGTTTGCTGCTTTAACAAGGAAGATGAAAACAACAGGGTAGCCTTGCTCATCAATACAATTAAGTGTCTAAATTACAAATTAGGGATGGAAAAAGTCAAGTGGTATAGAGGGCATCAACAAAGAGTTGTTTTCTTTCACTGAAGTCTTCCCAATTCTTTGAAATACTTTACTTCAATAAAGGGGGAAAAATCATAACTTACTGAAAATAAACTTCCCATTTCTACCTGCATGCAGATCATTTGGTCTCCACCTCCCTGCTATTTCCTGGCATTCCAAAACTACTTGTTTATAGTTATTTGTAGGAGCACCTTACTTTGGGAGGCCCTCTTTCCAGTCAAGGGAAAGCAAAGCATTCTGCACCCTGTTTCTACCTACAAAATGGGAACTATAAGCATTACTGACTCCCTCCTTACCTGTCAAAGATTTAAGAAGATCACCTAGATGCTGTTCATGAGCTTTGAACTGCTTAGCAGTAGCACTAGATGAATAGCAGTTTCAATTTTTATCTTCTCTTGAAGTGTTCCATCTAATGCTGTCCAGAAGAACAGAGTACAAAATAAATAAGACTTCAAAGTCAACAAATGGTTTGCAATGTAGGATCTCACAACTGGGAATCCTATAAAGCCATTTGTTGCATTAAATAGGCTTAAAGAAGAAAATCGGAGAGCCTAGAGCTCACATTCAGAATTTATTTGTGGCTGGGAAATATTCAAGGAGTAATTGTTGGTTTTTGAAATCTTAAAATGAAAAGGCATTAATGTAAACTATCCTATCAATAAATACTTTAAATGTATAATGTCCATAATCCAGCCATTCGACTTCTTGCTATCAATAATAAACAATGCAAAGGCATGTAAAAATGAGAGACATGAAATTATTTATTTTGGCAGAAAGCTGGACATACGTATGTATCTATTTATCTAAATGTACAAAAATAGGTAAATAAGTTAAAGTATATTCATAGTATGAAATACTATGCAGTTGCTAAAAAGAATGGAAGTATCACTGTATGCACTGATAAGAAAAGGTTTCTAAGACATACTACAGAGTAAAAGAAGATGCAAAACAACAGATATAATATGACATGAAAACAATCAACAATAAAAGGCTATGGATATATATTTATTTACAGAAAGTATAAAAAAGGTCTAGAGAGTACACAAAGAGATAGCCTTCTACAAGGGTCTCTTGATTGTGAGTGGTGGTCAAAGTGGACATCTTTTTTTTAAAAAAAGAATTATTTTACTTAACTTTATTTGTCTATTTATTTATTTATTTATTTAAATTTTGACCAGAGAGAGAGAGAGAGAAAGTAAGAAAGCAAGCTGCCAGGTCCAGGACTTAAACCATGGTTGGCCATGTGGGAGTCCAGCGCCATCAATCACCACGCCACCTGCCAGCCCCAAAAGTAGACTTCTTAACTTTATAAGCAAAGTTATGTAATAGCTGATTTTATGTCAACTTGACTAGGCTATGGTGCCCAGGTATTTGGTCAAACACCAGTCTAGATACTGCTGGGAAGGCATTTTAAAGATGTGATTAGGGGCGAGGGCCAGCAGGTCTGGAGTGGTGGTTAAAGGCACTGGATTCCCACATGGCCGACCGTGGTTTGAGTCCTGGACCTGGCGGCTTGCTTTCTCTCTCTCTCTCTCTCTGTTCCTCTCTGGTCAAGTTAAAATAAACAAATGAATAAATAAATAAATAAAGTTAAATAAAATAATTCCTTAAAAAAAAAAAAAAAGATGTGATTAGGGCCAGACAGTGGCATGGTAGTTAAGGCGGCTGGATCTCACATGGTCAACTGTGTGGCTCAAGTCCCTGACCCAACGGCTTAAAAACAGACTGGGCACATGTGGCAAGCATGCCCAAAAATCCAAAGAGGAGAATGGAGAAGACATTGTGGGATTTCCATATCTCCTGGGAAATTATTTCTCAGTTTCTCTCTCTCTCTCCCTGGTGAGCAAAGGCACCTTAAGCAAAAAATAAAAAATAAGAAAGCAGAAAACAAAACAACAAAAAAAGATGTAATTAACAATTAGTAGACTTTGAGTAAAGCAAACTGGCATACAAAATGTGGGTAGGTCTCATTCAATCAGTCAAAGGACTTAAGAGCAAAGACTGATGTTTCCAGAAGACAGAGAAAGCAATTCTGTCTCAAAATTACAACACAAAAACCCTTCCTGAGTTTCTAGTCTGAAAATTTCTTTCTTTTTTTTAAATTGTCAGAGAGCTCGTGTACTCACTACAGAGAGACAGACAGGGAAAAGGACGGAGAAAGCACCCCTCAAAAGACCATGGTCATGCTGGAATCCCTACTTCTCCCATCTACTAGGATTTGGGGCATGCACATTCATGTTCCTGGCATGTCTTTCAAGCTGCCGGGGCTGTGACTTAAACCACAATCAGCCATGTAAGACAACTCCCATTAGCCACTACGTGACAGGGTCAGCCCCTGCCTGGCTCAAGACCACATTAACTCTTCCATGAATTTCAACCTGCTCCATAGAATTCAGACTCGTCAGCTCCTACAATCACATGAGCCAATTCCTTAGAATAAATCAATTTCTCTTTCCACCCTCTACCTCTTTCTCTCCTCTTGTCCTCTCCTTCCTTCCCCCCTTTCCTCTCTCTCCCTATGACCCCAACTTTCTACAGCCTATTAGATTTGTTTTTCAGAGAGTCCTAATTAATACAGGTTGTTTTGTTGTTTCTGCAATAAGAATATATTCATTTCTACTGTGTATAATAAAACATAAATATAATTTTTAAAAGCAATTAATCTTGGCCATTACCTGATATGGTTACTTATTCTTTAATTTAAAATTTTATAAAAATGCTTCTTCATATGTATTATTCAAAATTTTTAAAATATATATAACCTCTTACTGGCAGATAAAATGAGAATTATGAGAAGAATTTACAATTCACTAATAGGAAAACTTCCACTGAGATGGATTTAATGACAGTGTTAGAGAAATGTAAACTTATTTCATTTAGACATATATATAGACTACTGAGAAACAGATCCTGAATAAGTGAATGATTCAGAAGTCTAAAAATTGGGAGAAAACAAGATCCAGGGAAATAAATTCATGTGTATCCCTCATGTGCCCTTCTTATGGTGTGACTTAAACCACAATCAGCCATGTAAGACAACTCCCATTAGCCACTACGTGACAGGGTCAGCCCCTGCCTGGCTCAAGACCACATTAACTCTTCCATGAATTTCAACCTGCTCCATAGAATTCAGACTCGTCAGCTCCTACAATCACATGAGCCAATTCCTTAGAATAAATCAATTTCTCTTTCCACCCTCTACCTCTTTCTCTCCTCTTGTCCTCTCCTTCCTTCCCCCCTTTCCTCTCTCTCCCTATGACCCCAACTTTCTACAGCCTATTAGATTTGTTTTTCAGAGAGTCCTAATTAATACAGGTTGTTTTGTTGTTTCTGCAATAAGAATATATTCATTTCTACTGTGTATAATAAAACATAAATATAATTTTTAAAAGCAATTAATCTTGGCCATTACCTGATATGGTTACTTATTCTTTAATTTAAAATTTTATAAAAATGCTTCTTCATATGTATTATTCAAAATTTTTAAAATATATATAACCTCTTACTGGCAGATAAAATGAGAATTATGAGAAGAATTTACAATTCACTAATAGGAAAACTTCCACTGAGATGGATTTAATGACAGTGTTAGAGAAATGTAAACTTATTTCATTTAGACATATATATAGACTACTGAGAAACAGATCCTGAATAAGTGAATGATTCAGAAGTCTAAAAATTGGGAGAAAACAAGATCCAGGGAAATAAATTCATGTGTATCCCTCATGTGCCCTTCTTATGGAATAAAGCATTAGAAATGTAACAAAGCGTGTGAAAGCTCTATTCCTTGTATAAGAAGGCTGCTAGCAAGAATCCTTCCCTACTTAGTATTCAAAGGAGCCAACTTCATCTCTTAGCTTCTCCAGGGACACATCCCAACTCTCTAACCACTATGATTTCCTACTTACATTCAGAGAAAAGAAGTAAGCTACTTGAAGATAATTCAGTAGCCTACATCCTCCTGCATTTCCATCACATTATTTTGATGATATTAAATACCAAACAATTTTAAAGTTTAAAAATCTATATTTGCACATACTGTTTTATCTTCCCGAAAAAGCCATCCTGTTTGGGCACGTGTGAAAGAAATTGATTTGGTAGACAGAGTTGCAGAGTAAATATCGCTGCTCATTAAAATGTCAACCTCTTCTTCTGTTTCCATCTCTGATTCCTGGGAGAAAGGCAAAAATTAAATATAAGAATCTAGTTTTGCAAAGGCTATTAGTGCTACATATGAAAATATCAGTAATTCTAATGTTACAGTTTTTAAAAGACAAAAAAAGGACAACTGATAAATAATATGACATGCTGTATATTCTAAAAATAGATGAGGAAATTTCATACATACAATATCTTCTCTAATAAGTTTTAGTTATGACTAATTATGAATCCATTAAACCAGGACACAAGAAATACAGTACTCTTAAAAATATGCAATGAAACACTACTAGAACACCCATTACAGAAGTATATAATCTGTAGAGCAAGTTTAAAATTGCTTTAAGAATTAAATTGACAAACTTGAGACAAAACACCTATCAAGTTTTTCTTTTCTTTATATACAGATGAATCTTATTTAAGTTCTTTTAATGCCAAGACCCACTACTGTCATTTGAGCCTTTTCCAATAAGTTTAAAGAGGAAGGAGGGAAAGGAAGGAAGAAAGGAGGGAACCAAAGGATGAAAGCAGAGATCTTTTCTATACTTCTTGTAGAATGGAGAGGAATCCGTAATATCAACCCACTTTTTTCCCCTAAACTACTCATTTCTAAGTAGCCTTACATCAGATTTTATCCTCTATATATTCCCAGTGCTGACACATAATAATGGAGCAATAATTGTTTTTAAGTGAGAAAAAAAAAGGCTTAGTTCTTGCTTCAGGGAGAGAAGACTAAGTGGTCAGGTACAGAGGAGTAAGGGAGCCAGTGTAAGATATGGCCTATTCCCTGCTGGGCTGAGACAGTCTAATATTTAGGACCCTCTTAAAAAAATTTTTAAAAAAGCAGAAACTAGAGAGAGATCTGGGGAATAAGAACTATTCACAGGGTTTGGTTTTGTTTGTTTTACAATGGCTAAAGGCTCTATTCTCCATCTGTCCTTATTTATAGATTCTCAAAAGCCCCATTTTCTATTTTGACCATATAACTTTTACCTACATATATAGTTCCTTTTTGAATCTTTGACTCTACAGAAAACTATAGCAATAGCTTGGAACTAGCGCAGCACTGTTTCCTCCACCCTTACCAGTGAGGGATGCAAAATCTTGACATTACTGCTAAAGCTATAATAGATGAAAATGTACCCCTGGTAGCCCAAAGTAATTCTGAATACAACTTTCTAAATTTTCTCTAATTACAAAAAAAGTCAAAAATAAGTTACTGACTCATTCCTGACAGAATAGAGGATATCATTCACCAACAAAGGAAAAACAGGAGAAAGGGTAGGTTGGTAGGGAAAATAACGAGTTTAGTTTTAAGCAAAGTTAATTTTAAGATACCTGAATAATACTTGTGATATCATTAAGTATATAAACAGATAGGCCCCTCCTCAGAAGTACTATCTGGGATACAAAAATGTATTTGTGAAACATCAACCTGTAGGAGGTAGGTAAAGCTGTGGGAACTGAAAAGATCATGGCAGTCTACATAAATGAGATCTACATAAGGGACACATTGATACATAGGAAGTAAAAATAAAATTAAAAAAAAAAAAGACAAGCAATGAAAAGGAGAGGCAGGAAAAGAACTGGACACGGTCAAATAAAAAAATAATAATAATAATAAAGAGGGGGAACCAGCAGTTAGCGTAATGGCTATGTCACTGGACTTCCACGTAGTCGACCACGGTTCGCGTCCCGGACCTGGTGGCTTAAAATTCATGCCGGGCACGTGTGCGTGCATGCCCTAGATCCCGAGAGAAGAATGGAGAAGGGATTGCAGCATGACCATCCCCCCTGGGGGGTGATTTCTCACTTTCTGTCTCTATGTCTCTCTCTGTCTGTCTGGTGAGCGCACACACCCTATAGCAAAAACCTCTTAAAAAAAATAAATAAAATAAAGATTTCATGAACTGAGTTACCAAATAATATTACCAAATATTAGCAAATAAAGTTGGAGAAGTCTAATAAAGATAAGGTTGAGATATGTATGCTGATTTAAGCAAAACAGACTCAAAATGAATATCATTTAAAACTCCAAATTGTTTCCTGTTCCAAATGGCCCAGTTCTATCAGTGGTGCCAAACATCCACTCTTGAGTACAGCATCACTATACTCACCCTATATTTTTTTCTTTTCTTAATTCACTACATTTAAACTATTAACAAATCTAGTAACGTTATTTGTGGAAATGTACGTCATTTTCTTTCTTATTCACTCCGCTACCTTAGTGTCCTTATCACCTTTGATGAGGGTCACGCAACATCCTCATCTCTCAACTATATAACTAAAAACTTCTGAAATCATTTGTCTCCAATTTCTCTTTTCCAATTCGTCTTGCATATTAGTTGTGTGATCTGTGTGATCTCAGAGATGTCACTTAACATCTATAAGTCTCTACTTCTTTCATTTGTAATAGGTAGATACTAACCAAATTTGACAGGTTATTTTGGTGATTTAATGAGGAGAGCTGGAAAGCACTTTTAGTCCAAATATGCTAGCAATTAATGCTTACTATATGAGAGTGAATGATATACACTATTAATACAATTCACTACTGAAAGCACTAGCAGTGTCTACCATTTAAAAATCCATGATATGGGACCTAGCAGCTAGCATAATGGCTGTCACTGGACTCCCATGTAGTCGATCACAGTTCAAGTCCTGGACCCGATGGCTTAAACTCACATAGGGCGCATGTGCGTGCGTGCCCAAGATCCCGAGAGGAGAATGGATTGAGACGTGGCCATCTCCCCTGGGGGGTGATTTCTCGCTTTCTGTCTCTCTGTCTCTGTCTGTCTTTCCAATGAGCGCATGCACCCTATAGCAAAAAATAAATAAATAAATAAATAAATAAATAAATAAATAAAATCCATGATAAATGTTTAAGGAAAGAAGGGAGGGAAGGAAAATGAAAGAAACACATACAATAAATTTACTGAAATTATTTTCAATCAACTCGATACCTTGTTTAAGAACCTATGACCCTCTGTTGCCAACAACAGCAGATATTTATTATCTGGCTTTCTCATGCTTAATAAGAGAAACCTTCACTGTAGGTCTCTTTCCTAAACAAACCATTCTTACTCCTACTTCCTTCCTTTATTCATCCAGTTTGCTCCATCTTTTCTTTTTCTCTAAATCTCCGCTCACTGCCAGTTAGGACTCTATTTCAATAGCACACGTACAAGGTAACTAAGGTATTCTCAGTAGATACAGCAATATGAAGATCTCATCTAAGAGACAGTGAGGAAGAAGCCACAGGATGTAGTGAATGACAACGTAGAGAAGTGAAATGATAGAAAAAGACAAAATACAAAGTGGCAAAAAGAGGTTGACTTAAAATAATCTGTACCACTATCAGTGACATATAGATAATGGAAAAGCTTTAGTTTATAGCAAGAGAGCAACAAAGGACAATAGTAATGGCACATATGGTTTTTCGGTAGTAGTTTTAAGGCAATATCAAAATGAAGATTTGATACGGCAGAAGGAAGACAATGTACTAAAAGAGAGAAAAAGATAAAGAAAGGAAAGGTAACCAAAGAGTTAGGAAGGTAAAAGAGCACAGGCAGAGTCAAAAGAGGTGTTCATATTATGTGATAAAGATGTTCAGGAACATTAAAAGTTGAGGTAGTAAGATAATAAATGTTGAAAGGGCCAGCACAGGTTCAAAAATGAAAACTACAAATGAGAATAAGAAAAAATGAAGTTCAAATGAGAATAAGAAAAGATGAATTCACTGATCTAGAAGGAAAATCCATGATATGGGGCCTAGCAGCTAGCATAATGGCTGTCACTGGACTCCCATGTAGTCGATCACAGTTCAAGTCCTGGACCCGATGGCTTAAACTCACATAGGGCGCATGTGCGTGCGTGCCCAAGATCCCGAGAGGAGAATGGATTGAGACGTGGCCATCTCCCCTGGGGGGTGATTTCTCGCTTTCTGTCTCTCTGTCTCTGTCTGTCTTTCCAATGAGCGCATGCACCCTATAGCAAAAAATAAATAAATAAATAAATAAATAAATAAATAAATAAAATCCATGATAAATGTTTAAGGAAAGAAGGGAGGGAAGGAAAATGAAAGAAACACATACAATAAATTTACTGAAATTATTTTCAATCAACTCGATACCTTGTTTAAGAACCTATGACCCTCTGTTGCCAACAACAGCAGATATTTATTATCTGGCTTTCTCATGCTTAATAAGAGAAACCTTCACTGTAGGTCTCTTTCCTAAACAAACCATTCTTACTCCTACTTCCTTCCTTTATTCATCCAGTTTGCTCCATCTTTTCTTTTTCTCTAAATCTCCGCTCACTGCCAGTTAGGACTCTATTTCAATAGCACACGTACAAGGTAACTAAGGTATTCTCAGTAGATACAGCAATATGAAGATCTCATCTAAGAGACAGTGAGGAAGAAGCCACAGGATGTAGTGAATGACAACGTAGAGAAGTGAAATGATAGAAAAAGACAAAATACAAAGTGGCAAAAAGAGGTTGACTTAAAATAATCTGTACCACTATCAGTGACATATAGATAATGGAAAAGCTTTAGTTTATAGCAAGAGAGCAACAAAGGACAATAGTAATGGCACATATGGTTTTTCGGTAGTAGTTTTAAGGCAATATCAAAATGAAGATTTGATACGGCAGAAGGAAGACAATGTACTAAAAGAGAGAAAAAGATAAAGAAAGGAAAGGTAACCAAAGAGTTAGGAAGGTAAAAGAGCACAGGCAGAGTCAAAAGAGGTGTTCATATTATGTGATAAAGATGTTCAGGAACATTAAAAGTTGAGGTAGTAAGATAATAAATGTTGAAAGGGCCAGCACAGGTTCAAAAATGAAAACTACAAATGAGAATAAGAAAAAATGAAGTTCAAATGAGAATAAGAAAAGATGAATTCACTGATCTAGAAGGAAACCAGTGAATTCTGAACAAACAGACTCAATGGTCAGAATGAACAGAAAATAACAGAAATTTTTAAAAAAGAATTAAAAAGCTAATAATAATGAAAAGAAAAAAGCTTTCATAATAATTTATCTCAATTACCCTCTATACTTTTAAAGCAATTATACTAAAGCTTCGCTAAACATAGACTTTTTTTTTAAACCACTTAGAGGAATATTGATAAGACAACATACTCACCTCATGGTGTATTCGCTGATATACTTTTTGTTCATTGTCTAATACTACAAAAGATTCAGAGGGTGCTGCATCCCCATTGAAAATGAAGCTTAAATCCCCTCGTTGGCACTTCATGTCAGTAAAGTCTATGAGAGTTGTGTCAAGCCTGTGAAAAATGAGTAGATAAAACTCTTGACAAATAAAATTTTGATAAAACTTTATCAATAATTAAACAAGCTGTGTTTCTCCCAACTCTAAACAAGATGCTAATACTATACCTGAAAGTCAAACTTATATGTAAAAGTTAAATTTAAAATATTTTATTTAGAAACAAAAATAACTTAAATACATATTCCACTTTACCTATATTTCACTTTGCTGAATACATACTTCACTAACCCAGCAAGAAAAATTATTTCCACACTGTTTAAGTATTTCCCTTACTGTCCTTGTTTCCTACTATTTCCCTTACTGTAGCTACTCAATAAAACTTATTTCAATAGAGAAGGACAGAAAAGGAGAACAGATCTACCTAATATTCTTTGATCCCTTTAAGATCATGTTGTTAGCTCAGCAGAATATTTAAGAAGGGTATAACAGGAGTTGGGCCACATTCTTGGATTCAGAACTGCCCTTTTTCTGAGATAAAGCTGTAATACCTTATGCTTAACCATGTAGTACCAAACCTTTCCTTTTTTTTCAACTTGATAAATCATTTAACCTACTCCAAATTCTGCCTTTCCATTTGAATTTCCAGTCTCATATTAGCATTGTTTTTTCCAGACACTTCCACTGCCTGAAAACCTTATGGATCATTCTGTGCCAAATACTCATGGATTTACATACTCAAGAGTTTATTGCACTCTTTGGTAACCCAGACCTGTCATAGACTAGCTCCATTGGCTGGTTTCAAACAACACTCCACAAACTACTACCTGCTGAAATTAGGAAAGATATTAAAATGGAAACGTTTACAAGTATCCTAACATGCTTCAATCTTACACAGAGCTAAACCATCATCAGACCAGAATCACACTAGCTGACTTGATGCTCAAAACACACAATCCTTAATGCAAGAATCTGACTGGCCCAGATGTCAAGAGATGTTGATCACCTCCAAAGACTCTCTTTTAAGTCTTTGTGAGAGATCCAATAAATTTCTAGTGCAACTTTAAGAATTCATTACTTTACAGGTTTTTCAGTTCTCATCATAGACAAGTAAAACTGATTCAGAGTTCTTAGTTTCCCTATTCAAATATAGTTGAGAAATAGAACATATCTTACAAGTTACATCAAAAAGATAACTGGGACCAGCAGTTAGTGTAATGGCTATGTCGCTGAACTCCCAAGTAGGAGACCGCAGTTTGAGTCCCGGACCCGGTGGCTTAAACTCACGCCAGGCATATGTGTGTACGTGCCCAAGATTCCGAGAAGAGAATGGAGGAGAAGGGATTGCAGCGTAGCCATCCCCCCCGGGTGGGTGATTTCTCGCTTTCTATCTCTCTGTCTCTCTCTGTCTTTCTGGCGAGCGCATGCGCCCTATAGCAAAAAAATAAAACCTTTCTAAAAAAAAACTAAAACAAACAAACAAAAATAACCAAGATTACATATAATTTATCATCCAAACTATTAACTTTTAAAAATGGGAGTAATGGGGCCATCAAGTAGTGTGGTAGTTAAGGTGTTGGACTCCCACACTGGCCTACTGGGACGCAGGTCCCAGACCTGGCAGCTTGCTTTCTCACTCTCCCTCTCTCTTACCCTGTCAGGTTTCCCTCTCTCTCTCCCTCTGGTCAAATTAAAATAATAATAATAATAATAAATAAAATTAAGTAATTATTTTAACAAATGGGAGTTATACAAAATAATTTTATCAGGACAACAAAGGTAATCCAGAGCAAACATACACATATGATCACCCTATACATGACAGTAATCATATAATAGACATCTATCCGCAGAAAAAAATTCAAGAATCCCTAAGAAAAGCAGCCCACCAACTCATACAGGGGGGAACCCTGCCTGCTGTTTATACCTGAAGTCTACCTCGTGGTCTACTCCCAGTGGCCTGCTGCCTGTACTACTAAATAAGCAAAGTTGTTCAAACAAAAGGATCAGCCCCATAGCATGGTGGTGAAGGCAGCTGCATTCTACATAGCTGGCCATGATTCAAAACCTGGCTCCATTACCTTGAAAAACACATTGAATACATGTGCATGCATGCCCAAAATCCAGAGAGGATACAGAAAAGGAGAAGAAAACATTGCAGCATGACCATGCACCCCTGTGAGATGCTTTTTCCTCTCCCCCTCTACCTCTCTCTGTGAAGCACACATGCCCTTTGACAATTAAAGAAAATATCCATGGAGAAATTAGTATTTTGAAAAAGCTATGCATGAATTTTATAAAATGTATACTAAAATATGCTTGTACTTTAATTCCACTTTTCCAGAACTTTTTGAAGTCCCCCCATATAAGTGGACTATTTGGGCTCTAAGCTTCAGCTCCCTGAAAACTGTATCACACATAGAAGGAAAAACAGTGATCAGTCTCATGTGCGGTGTGGTTAGGCACTATGCAGAAAAAGCTGGAGCCCACATGGACAACCAGGATTTGAGTCCTCACCCTGTTAGCTTGAAAAACACCTAGGGCGGGACCAGCAGATGGCCTAATGGTTATGTTGCTAGACTCCCACAAAGTAGACCGCAGTTTGTGTCCTGGACCCAGCAGCTTAAAAGCCACGCAAGGTGTATGTGTGTGCATGCCCAGGATCTCAAGAAGAGAATGAAGGAGAAAAGACTGCAGCATGGCCATCCCCCATGGGGGGTGATTTCTCACTTTCTGTCTCTGTGTGCTAGAACAAACAAACAGACAAAAATCTCTCTTTATAAAAAAGAAAAGAAAAAGACCCAGGGCATGGAGAATCAGAGGAAAAACGATTGCAATGTGAACAGTGCATTGGGTAGGTATTCTCTCTCTCTCTCTCTCTCATTTGCATGTGTGTATGCACACACACCCCTTGTACATTTAAAAAGAATGAAGGAGAAAAATGGGCCAGAATAGAGTCTTTTTGCCTGCAGTTCTTTCTTGTCCATTTAATGTGGAAGTAGGTTGTTGGGGAGGGGATGGAAAAGGTAAGGGAGGAAATACACAGAAAGATTTGAGAAAGACAAAGACTGCAATCTTTAACCTAATTATACCTAAAATCAGTTATATAAACTTCCCAGTTACATAAACAATTTTTATTTTATCTGTTTCTACAAACTGAAACTAAAAGACTAATACATCTTCTGCAATATCCCTTATACTAGATTGCCTTGTAAGTCATACCATATATGCCTCATAAATGATACAATTTATCATAAAGGTATTTTAACACATTACCTAGTCTTTGGCTTTAAGCCTAAGAGCCTACACATTTTTATATTTTCGCTATGTAATTAGCCATGAAGAACAGAAAGTTCTTTATACAAATGCAAAAATTTTAATAGAAAAGATTCTTAAAGTAAAAATACCAAACACTTAAAAAAGAAATGAACACTTTTCTTGAGACTGAAAAAACCTGAAAAATGACAGTTTGCAATGATCATTTCAAACAGTAGGTTATAGATTACCTCTTAACCTATTGCTATTACTGGCGAGAACGTTTATTAGTACTCTCAACAATATTGCTATTCACATTTTCCTATTTTTACTAACATATTCGTTTCTTTTACACCAGACAAGATATTCAAATGGTTACAAGGCTGTCATAAGATAAAACTACACTTCAAAAATTTCTCTTTGAACATATATTAAAATTCAGCTTCATTTAAAATGCTTCTAAAAAATTGTCTCCTAACAGGGCCAGCTTCAAGGCCTGGTGGTTACAACTAGATCCTACATGACCAACTGCCCTGGACCTGGTGCTTGAGAAACACACCAGGTGTGTATGCATATGTGCCCAAAATCCTGAAAGGAGGGAGAAATGGAGGAGAAGAGATTGTAACATGACCATTCTCCATGGATGGTGCTGTCTCCTCTCCTTCTCTCTGTTTCTCTCTACCAAGCACATGTGCCCTCTAGGGAAAAAAATTAAAAAATTGTCTAATGACGTTTAAATAAAAGGATTTTATTTAATAAAGCAGACTTTTTTCCTTTAATATTCTAGTCACTTTCGGGATTCCATATATCTCAAAAACTAGTCTCTCATTAGTCTAGTAAGCTTTGCTATCTTGATAGCAAGAGTGTTAAAATCTATCACATTTCTCCTTCCCCACAGCTACTGCTGTAGTAAGTCCCAGGTATAAGTTCTTACTAAACTACAGTAGCTTCCCCTTAACCTGTCACCTCTGTCACAATTATTCCCCCAAGCTCCTACTCTTATGTCTCTGTTGTAACCATTTTTAGGTTTTATTTTTCTATATGTTATGTGCATCATATCATTTATTTGTAAAAGTCATATATAAATATAACATTTTTTTTCTCGATTTCTGTCATAGGGTGTGTGCCCTTGCCAGAGAGAAACAGAGAGAAGGAAAGTGAGAAATCTCCTCTCTCCCCCAGGAAGGGGATGGCCACACTGCAATCCCTTCTCCTCTATTCTCTTCTCAGGATTTTGGACACTCATGCACACATGCCGAGCATGATTTTCAAGCAGCCGGGTCTGGGACTTGAACCACAGTTGGCCATGTAGGAATCCACCACTTTAACCACCATACCACTTGCTGGCCTAAAATAAAACCATTTTTTCTTTATGTCCTAATCTAAGTGTCAAATAGAACTAAAACTAACATTTTTTATTTTTAAAGAATTATTTTATTTAACTTTATTTATTTATTTATTTAAATTTAACCAGAGAGGGACAGAGTGAGAGAGGGAAAAAGAGAGAAAAAGAAACAAAGAGAGAGAGAGAAAGGGAAAGTGAGAAAGCGAGTCACCAGAGTCACCAGGTCTGGGGCTCAAACCCCAGTCGGCTATGTTGGAGTCCCACACCCTTAACCAATACACCATCTGCTGGTCCAAAAACTAACTTTTATAGTAACATATGAAAGATTATTCTCCAGAATTATCTACTCTCTTTGGAAAGCACTCACATTAAAAGCATTTTAATTGATGAAACCATAATTAATTGCTAACAAAATGTTGCTGAATTAAATCCTGACCATTATCGAGGCCAGCAGGTGGTGTGGAGGTTAGATGCTGGACTCACACATGGCTGGATCTAGCAGCTTGCTTTCTCACTTTCTCTCTCTCTCTCTGGTCTTTACCATTATCAAATTCTTTCCTACTTATTTTTTTCTATATTTTTCTGTTTTTCCCAAGGTATTTTTTTGGGGGGAGAGGTGTTTTTTTGTTTGTTTGTTTTGTTTTTGTTTTTGTTTTGCTATAGGGTGCGTGCGCTCGCCAGAATGACAGAGACAGAGAGACAGAAAGCGAGAATTCACCCCCCAGGAGGGATGGCCACGCCGCAATTCCTTCTACTCCATTCTCCTCTGAGATTTTGGGCACACATGCACACGTGCCTGGCATGAGTTTAAGCCACCGGGTCCGGGACTCAAACCACGGCTGACTACATGAGAGTCCAGCGACATAGCCATTATACTAACTGAAGGTCTCTGTTTTTTCCAAGTTTTTAATAATGACCACACTTAACATGCATGAATACTTAAAAAATTTGAAACACCTGAAAGAAACATCTATCTTAATAAAATTCTATTGCTTAACAATAATTATACTAAGATTTACTTCCAATTAAAGGTTACCTTCTCATAAATTTAAAATGTAATATGATTGAGCTAGTCCCATGGCCTCATGGTTAAGGGAGCTGGATCCTATGTGGCCAACTACAGTTTGAATCCTGGCCCTAGTGGCTTGAAAACTATACTGGACAGATGTGCATGTGTGCCGAAAAAACTTATAAGATGGAGAAATGGAGGAGAAGGGATTGAGGTGTGACCACATTCTATGAGGGTGGACAGAGAGGCTGTCTCTGTCCTTCTCTGTCTCTTGAAAGAGAATGCATCCTCTAACAATTAAAAGAAAAAAATAAAATATTATGTGATAAATTTTGTTATACACTTGAAAAACTTATGCTTTGTTGGGACCGGGAAATGGCATAATGGTTACAACGTGGGACTCCCACATAGTCAACCACAGTTCAAGTCCTGGACCCGGTGGCATAAAACACACTTGTGTGTGCATGCATGTCCAAAATCCCAAGAGGAGAAAGAGGACAAGGAACTATCACATGGCCAATCCCCCGGGAGTTGATTTCTTGCTATCTATCTCTCTGTCAAGCTCATGTGCCCTATAGCAAAAATCTCTCTTAAAACAAACTTCTGCTTTGTAAAATGGAGGAAACAACTAACAAAAAGCTAGAAGTCCTTCTTCAGCCACTAATTTTTAATATGTTCTTATAAAAAATAATCACATAACTTCTCTGAGCTTCCTTATCTACAAATGAAGAGGTATATGAGATAACCCTTCATGTTATCTCTAAGTCCAGATCCATAAATATTAAAATCAATATTCTGATAATAGGGGCCAGCCCAGATCCATAAATATTAAAATCAATATTCTGGTAATAGGTACCAGCAACGGTATGGAGATTAAGATGCTGTATCCCAAATGGCTGACTTCAAGGCTCGAGTCCTGGAACCAGTTACTTAAAAATGATGCCAGATGCATGTGTGTACATGCCCAAAATCCCAAGAGGAGAATATAGGAGGAGAGACTGTGGCATGGCCATGCGCCTTTAAGGGGGTGATTTCTCTCTTTTTCTGTTTCTCTCTCTTTCTGGCAAGCATATAAGCCCTGTAACAAAAACTGTCTCTCTCTGACCCTTTGGTGAGTGCACATGCCCTATACCAAAAATTTATCTTAAAAAGAAAGAAAGAAAGAAAGAAAGAAAGAAGAAAGAAAGAAAGAAAGAAAGAAAGAAGAAAGAAAGAAAGAAAGAAAGAAAGCTATAGACTCAAGAATCATGAAAGGTAAATTCTGAAGTGGGTAAAATAGATTTATTTTCTATTAGATTGAAGCACCAATCTTAGTTATAAAAGAACAGAACAGAAGAAAATTAAAATTAGCCTTAATGTGTGTTCACTAGAATGAAGAGATCAACGAATGGCTGAATGAATAAATAGGGGAGGGAAGGGTATGGAGAGATGGAAAAAACGCAAGAAATTGGGTGTTTCTTATTCTTTAATAAATTCAGGAACAGAGAAATGACCATCTTAAATCTTCTTAGTATTTTATCACGATCTTCAGTCTATTTGCTTTCTAAATAGTCTGTAGGCGAATAACAGTATGCTTGCTTTAGCCAAGATTTTATGTCTTTGATCTTCATCTGTAAAAAATTGTCTTAAATTAGATAAGATATCATGAATCCATTACAGCATTTTAAAGTTATAAAACACTATATCCAAATATAATCTATGATTACAGAAGGAAAAGCTTCCTTTTCAATTTTCTTTAACTGAGAAAAATATCAATTCACCTTACCTGATATTGATACCTTGTTTGTATATTTTACATGCATCAGAAGGCAGAATTCGGGAAAGTAAAGGCACTGCATTTTAAAAAAGAAAGGGTAAAAAATAACTAAATTCTGAGATATTTAAAAATTTAAAAAATAAGAGTAATGTAAACATTTCACTAATTCACCAAAGCTGAAATGACTCCCTTTAAAATAGCATTTTTCTATTTAACAATAACATATTAAGTGATTTTGAGTGACTTCAAATACCTACTATTTAATTATAATGTATGTATAGTTTATTAAACCCTCACCCCATCCACAACACATATAAGAGCCATAGAGTCAGTATAATGCTATTCTGGGGTACATATTGCACACTATTATAGAAGAATAACCATACCATAGTAACTAAACCCTTCTAAATTGGTAACTAGATAGATCTGAATTCTAATATTTCAGTGTAATTTGGAAAAATAGCAGGAAAATGATGTGTATAATAGAAAGATATCTTTGGGCCCAGCCACTGTGGCACTGCCAGAAACCTATGGAACTGCAATAGCTGGAAGCCACATGCTGAGAGTGGTTTAAGTCCCCAGCCCGTCAGTCTGAAAAAAATGCCAGGTTCGCAGATCCGTGCCTGGTAGGCTGGAGGACTGAAGGAAGAGGATTATGGCACAACGGAATCCTATGGAGGGTACTTCTTTCATTCCCTCCTTTTCCCTCTTTTTTCTCTTTCTCAGCTCCCCACCCTCATACATGCACAGGTGCTCTACCACAAATAATATAATAAACTGTGCCTTGATTACTTAAGCTCACTGTACTTGAGTTTGAAAATATGCAAAATAAGATTACACTATTTGCCTATAGATTTCTACATTACTATGCTGCTATTTATAACATATCCATATCATAAACTATTTTCTGATAGTGTTTAGGAATTATTCTATAGACAAATAAATCTGCAATAACATGCCATATAATAAACTACCCAGTACCAAATAATGAAAAGTGTGAAGGACAAAATTGTTGCACTAAAGATTGTATTGTATGCATGGATGTAAACAGTTATATGTGTATGTATAAGATGCATTATAGCTTACAAAATTCATGTTTTAAGAATTAGGAGGAACAGCAGGTGGAGTGGTGCTTATGGCTCTGGACTCCCACATGACCAGCCATGGTTCAAGATCCAGACTTGGTGACTTGAAAATCATGTTGGGCATGTGTGAGTATGTGCTAAAATCCCAAGAAGAGGATGGAAGAGAAAAGACTGAGGCATGGCCATCCCCGGGATAGTATTTTCTCACTTTCCCTCTCTGATTCTATCTCTCTCAGAGAATGCATGTGCCCTATTAGGAAAGAAAAAAAATCGGGTGACAAATTAACCTGAGTTAGAAAGAAAAAAGATTTTTTACAGGAAATTAAAAGCTAATTTTTTAACTTTTTGAAAGCATCAACGCCTTTCTAATTAACATTAAAGGAGAGACGGAGAAGAGATTGTGATGTAACTAGGCCCAGTAGGGACTATTTTCTCCTCTCTCTCCCTCTGTCTTTCTCTGGACAGTAAATGAGCTCTCTGGCAATAAAAAAGAAAGAAAGAAAGAAAGAAAGCAAGGAAGGAAGGAAGGAAGGAAGGAAGGAAGGAAGGAAGAAAAGGAAAAAGACTGGACTATAGAGAAAAAACAAGTTGGGAATTAAGGGGCAAAATTAAGGAGAAAAAAGAAAGGAACACTATCAGCTAAAAACTATTTTCTCCTCTCTCTCCCTCTGTCTTTCTCTGGACAGTAAATGAGCTCTCTGGCAATAAAAAAGAAAGAAAGAAAGAAAGAAAGCAAGGAAGGAAGGAAGGAAGGAAGGAAGGAAGGAAGGAAGGAAGGAAGAAAAGGAAAAAGACTGGACTATAGAGAAAAAACAAGTTGGGAATTAAGGGGCAAAATTAAGGAGAAAAAAGAAAGGAACACTATCAGCTAAAAGATTTCTGCTAGATTTTAACACATTCCAAAAATATAAGAATACACCTTCCCCATTCTGTAATGATATTTTTTTCTCTTGCAAGTAAATTGAACAATTAACTTCTCTACATCTTAAATTATCTCAGCATAACCTGAAAGAGTACAGTACTCCAAGGGTAGCATAATTTACTACACTGAAAATGGAGAGATTTTAAAATTAAATTTTGGTTTTGCCATTACTTACTCCCTGATTTTAAGAAGAGTTTCCAAGCCTAATGTTTTCCACATAATATGCAAATAAGTTTCAAACAGAGGATGGATAAGTTCTGTGGATAACAAGGTAACTACTAGTTTTTTCGTTGATATGTGCTATATGGACAATGCTAAATTTGAAGTGATTTAAAATTTTTTTCATTGCCAAAGGGCCAGAAAGAGAAGAAAAAGTACCCCCTAATGAGCATATCATAATCCCTTTTCTCTTTCTCCATTCTATCGAGACTTTGGGCACACATGGACATACATACATACCCCAGAATGCTTTTAATGCCACTAGGGACAGGATTCAAACCACAGTAACCATGTGGAATCTGGCTCCCTTAAGCACTAGGCCACAGACTTGAAAGACTTCCATAAAAATTTCATTTCAGGGGACCAGCAGTTAGCGTAATGGCTATGTCGCTGGACTCCCATGTAGTTGACTGCGGTTCGAGTCCCGGACCCGGTGGCTTAAAACTCATGCAGGGGGCGTGTACATGCGTGCCCAAGATCCCAACAAGAGAATGGAGAAGGGACTGTGGCGTGGCCATCCCCCCTGGGGGGTGATTTCTCGCTTTCTGTCTCTCTGTCTCTCTCTTTCTGGCAAGCGCACACTCCCTATAGCAAAAACCTCTCCAAAAAAAAAAAGAAAAAAAAAATTTCATTTCGGGGACCAGCAGATGTCATGATTGTTACAATCACTGGACTCCCACGTAATTGACCATGGTTCGAGTCCCAGCCTCAGTGGCTTAAAACACACAGGTGTGTGTGTATTGTGTGTGCCCCAAATCCTGAGAACAGGATGAAGGGAAAAACATTACAGCATGGCCATCCCTCCTAGGGGGTGATTTCTTATTTTCTGTCTGTCTCTGTCTCTGTCTCTCCAGTGAGCGCATGCACTCTATAGTAAAAATCTCTCATTAAAAAAAAAGAAAATTTTCACTTCAAACACCAAAAGGAAGTTTGCAATAGATGGGGCATTTAGTTATCTCCATTTAAAAATCAAGTAACTGAAGCTCAGTAAAGTAAGTGACTTGCTATATCAAATAGGAAGTAGTATTCCTGATTCCAAATCAAAGCTTTTCTATAACTAAAATCCTAGACCAAATAGTTCAGTTGCCTTCAGAATAGCTATTAACTGTCTGAGGCTACTTCCTCTGAGGATTGGACATAAATATCAGCATGAGAAAGAATGGAATGTACTCTACTACTCAAAATTAAACTAACCCTAACCTCAATATTTCTTCACTTCCCTTTATTACTCCCTGGTGTGTCTTTTCTTTCCCCCAATAGATGGGCTTTGACAAGAGGAAGAAACATGCCAAACCCGGGGGGTCGGGGGTAGGGGGGAGATCATCAAATCTAATCACAGTGATCAATTTAGTGCTTTTTAATCCAAAGTGTCTGATTAAAATGTCACTTTTAAAATATTTTATAAAAGGGACCAGCAGGTGGTGCAGTGGTCAAGGTGTTGGATTCCCACATGGCCGAACATAGTAAGAGTCCCAGACCTGGCAGCTTGAAACTCACACCAGGCACATGTGCGTGCATGCTCAAAATCCCAGAAGAATGGAGTAGAAGAGATTTTAGTGTGACCAGCCCCCCCCCCCCGAGGGTGATTTCTCACTTTCCCTTTTACTATCCCTCTCTGTCTCTCTCAGTGAGCACATATGCCCTATGACAAAAAGCTTTAACATACAAAATTTTTTTTAAAAAATTATAACATTTTGTTAAAGAAGATAACTATTTTAGAATTCAGACTACTAACAATTATTATATTGAGTTTCCAGGAAAGTCATGGCATATTTTCCCTATGTTTTTCTATGCAAAAACATGTCATTACTTTTCTGACAACCCAATACAAAAAGAACAGGTTAAAGAGCCATGACAATTCAGCAGATGACTAAGTTAAGCATCATCAAGCAAAACTGGGGTTTCTAAAGTTGGGGAGAAAAGAAGTAAAAAGCTAGTATTCAGGCTTTAGACAAACTTGGAGTTCTTTTTAACCACAAAAGACTACTACAAACCTCTCTTTTCTCTCTATGTTCTAGTACACCAGATATGCTGAATGATACATAAGGTATAAAGAAAGGTAAGATAGGACTAACAGAGTAATAAGACTAAGCATAATTTTGACATAGCCAAAATTACAATAGCTTGATAAGTAGAGTTATAACAGTGTGGGAAAGAACTGATTACATTTGGGATTTAAAATTTGACTTCATTTTAAAGTTTTTTTTAAAGAATTATTTTATTTAACTTTGTTATTATTATCATTATTATTTTCCAGTTTGATCTGAGAGAAACAGAGAGAGAGAGAGAGGAAGTGAGAAAGCAAACCACCAAGTCCGAGATTTGAACTGTGGTCGGCCATATGGGAGTCCAGCGCCTTTAACCACCATGCCACTTGCCGGCCCCTAAAATTTGATATTTTAAAGATTAAAACATACTAGGAAAAAATCACCCATGCCATAAATTGCTATACATGGGTTAAAATAAGTAATTCCACATGAATAATATAGTAAGATGCCTATGAAATAATAAGTAACAAACTTATTAATAATTAATAAGTGTACAAACTGACAATGAAAAAAATGTAGTTTGTCAAAAATATAATCTGTAGAAAAATTAGGTATAAGTAGTTGTGAAAAAAAAAGAACAGAAACTTTCTTAAAACAGGAAGAAATTACAAACTTCTGATATGCTAGAGAGAAATAAGTATTAGTGGACTTCAGATTAATGCCTAAATTTACTTTTTCATTAGAAATCAGAAAATGTGAAAGACTAAAAAAATGACAAATATGACTGCTAATTAAACTTCAAGCCTGGTAATCTCCCAAATATTTGTTATGATAAGGTAGAGTGCATAATTGCTATTTTCTA